TTGTGGCTGATTGAGTGGGTCACTGATTTGAGAATTTTTATATTAAAAGCCATCAAAAAGCACATGATAACCTTGACATTTTAAATATGCTCATAGTAATTACGTAAAAGTTCTACAAAAGGCCTACTTCTCTTATTAGCGTTAGACATATGTAATAAACTTCACGTGATTTCTTATCAATTTGTTGAATTTCTTTTTTTAGTATCATTATATCATAAATAATTTCGATGTAACTATAATATCTTATATAATAACAATTAACGATAAAGTTATATTTCTTTCTAATTATTCCAATTTCTAATGCAGTAGATTGAAGATTCAATTAACAATGACTTACTCAAACTGTACAAATATGAAGAATTTAAAAATGTTATTAAGATATACGAAGGTCATTGCTTAGAAGTATACAGCGTGGTTTACAAAACTCATCATTTTGCGATAAAATCACTACTTTATGATAATGATAAATGCATGAATGAAATGTTCTGTGAGGTTGTTATTGCATATTTTGCTGTTTATTTTAAGATAAATTAAAAATTTTTTTCGGCATTTATTTAGATTCAACTTTATCGTCAAGTGAATTACTGTTCTGTCTCAACAATATCTGTCTCTTATACACATCTAGATGTGTATAAGAGACAGATATATATATGGTAAAATTATGAGATAAGAAAGGTTGGTAAAATTACTAGTAAATCTGAAATTTTGCCTGGAGACCTTTATTAGAAGTAAGCGGGGTCCTGGATAGGCGACCAATAAACCAATAGAGCCAACTTCACATATTTTAACTATCTTATCGATTATGGGTTTATTTGATTTCTCATCATAAACAACTCCATTTTTATTCTTGTAAAACATATGTGGATGGATCGTACTAAGTGTCTTCACCATTTCTTTAACTACATAACGTAATTTCACTTGAACAAAAACTGGAACCGTAACTTGCTCAAATTCAACAAAAAAATGATATCAGGACCACAACGATCCTCTGGAAAATAAAATGTTGGACGCGTCTTGGGCGATTCATTAAAGAATTTATCCAATATGTAACCTTCAGATGCATTTGCTACTCGTGGAACAGTATCATCAGAGGATTTGACAATTTTTGGTGATCCTTTACAGAAATAAGGCAAATTATATTTCTTAGTAACTTCAGCAAATACAGGCATATTTTTAATATCACTCCTGTCTCTTATACACATCTAGATGTGTATAAGAGACAGGGATTTGACAATTTTTGGTGATCCTTTACAGAAATAAGGCAAATTATATTTCTTAGTAACTTCAGCAAATACAGGCATATTTTTAATATCACTCTGCCCATTGAATATTCGCTCAAATTCATCAGGTAAATACATTTGCCACAATGTTCCCCATGAACTATCATTATTTGCTATGGACATTGTATTTAAAATTCCTTTTGGAAGACTATCATTATCGTTAAAGAAGTTGAAACCAGCAGTGAGAGCAAAGAGTTCATCAACATAGGCGACTAAAGATTTCTTTCCTTCTAATGCAGGATGTAATAAATCTACATTCACACTTGAGATTTGTAACATCTCTTCATCTACATCTTTACATATTTGCTTTAGGTGAGAAATAGTAGGTGGATTTACAAACCGGAGATGCTTGAAACCACTTTCAACTAATGACGTTTGACTAATATCAGTGAACACAAACGGCCCTCCAGAATAGTAATAGGCAAGTATTACGCTAGGACCCCGAGCAATATATGTATAGGTAACAATATCGTTTGCTTAGTCACATGCTATTTTAGCCACAGTTAGAGGTTAGATTTGCGTAAAATTAATGATATTTTTTGCCAATGTCATATTTTTCATTTGCTTATTTTCACAGAATTTTTGAAAAGTCATATAT